TAAGAGAATGATGGTAATTTATTATTTGATGCTGGGGATTGAACTCAAGTTTTATGCACGCTGGCAGAAGTGCCACGTCCCTAGCCTACTACATATTTTAATCTCTCAATTAAGCAACATCTGTAACCATCTGTCAGTCTACCAAGCCAGTCTTCATGGGGCCAGAGGGTGGCTGAGCAGATCTTACTTTAATTCTAAAACCATATGAAACACTTCCAATTATCCATGGAACGTCTGTTGCAGGTGAAGCATAGTCAGACATTCAGGGATTATCAGACAGATGTAGTAGTCAAAGAAATTGCCACTTAGTGGGGACCAGGAGGACTGACAGGTAAGACACAGCGAGGTCACGCAGAGTCACTGCTGCCCGAGTGCTGTGGAGGATGGAGGCTGCGCTTCTAGAACCTTCAGGGCCGGCAGAGTGGAGGCCTGCGCAAGGGGCTGCAGGTGGGACTGGTGGCGTGGAGGGGGCGAGGGCACGCTGCAGGGCCAGGACCAGTGTCTGCTTGTGATGTTTTTACTTAGAGGACCAATTGTAAGCCCGTGTCTCTCTGTAGGGGTAAGTAATAAAGCAAGGCGATACAATTTTTTTAAATATTTAATTAAAAATTGTTTGAGTAATGAGACATGAGAAAAATTTTATCCTTTTCTAGTTTCTTAACTATTGGTAGAATCAAGGCCAAGTTAGGGCACAGAAAGCCTACACCCTCACTTTAGGGAACAATGGCCGGACTCTGGTGACACAGAACTTTGCTCCACAGACAGCAGTCTGTTCTGAGCTACCTGCCCACTCTTGCTTCCGGATCTTGGCCCCAGGCTGTGGTTGGACCTGCTTAAACAGGGGGCTTCTGCTTGCTTTGGGATTTGGGTGTCCAAAGGCACTCCAACTAGGTCTGCCACCTTACAGACGACCCTTCTGTTCTCCAGTGACCGTAGAGGGCCGGGCCAGAATCTCAGCTCGTTACAGTGGGTGGTGGGCTGCTGCAGAGCGTGAGGGGCTGTTCCAGAGGGTGGGCTGTGGCTTTAATTCTGAACTTCTTTTCAAAGCCAGTGTGGACCCCGACAGCTACCCCAGTCAGCAGTGCATTGTCTGTCTCATAGGACAAAGAGGCTCCTGTCCAGGTGTCCTTTCGGCCTCTCTGGCTGAGACCAATCATTCACCACAGATGCACCGTAGCTGACAAGACCCCACTGCGAAGCACAGATAGAGCTCCAAAGTATCGCGAGAAGCCGTTTTGGTCACCCTCCCTCCAGCAGCTGCCTAGGACTTTCTGGTTTTCCAACTTCCCTTTTAAATAGGAATTTTTTAACTTTACTTTTTTTTATTAGTACATATTTGTCATACATATTATGTTGATCCCAGGGAACTTGTACCTGTATATAATATATATATATATATTTTATGTATTTGGTACAGGATCTACAGGGTCTCACTACACAGATCGGACTCATAGTGATTCTACTGTTTTCAGCCTCCCAAGTGCTGGGATTACAGGCGCGCCACCTCACTGTCTCAGTGCGCCCCAGCGGCTGGGCCAGCAGGACATGGTGGGGATCGAACCCTGGCCGCTGCATTCTGCCTAAGCAGGCACTTTAGTCTGCTGAGCTATCTGGCCGGCCCCATAATATATCTTAATTTTTCTTTTTTCTTTTTTCCATTCTCTTCCCCTTCCTTTATCCTTTCCCATTCCTTCAACCCCCTCATTTGTGAAAGTTTTGTTTCCATTTTCATCTTTTATTCTCCTAGAGGACCTTTTCCTGTGAGTCAGAGTTCCTGAGAAACACGCGGTAATGGCCGCTCCATGCAGCTGCTGCCTGGGGTGGGAACGTGCCGACTCAGCCCTCTCCTCATAGCCCCAGCTTCGAAGTCCTGCTAAAGAATCTTCTAAGGGAGACATGATTAAAAAAAAAATCACTCAATTAAAAACACTTAAAAACCATTTTTTAGCTGAGCATTATGGTGCACATTTGTAATCCCAGCACTTGGGAGGCTGAGGCAGGAGGATCATTGCGGGTTTAAGACCAGCCTGGGCTACAAAGTGAGCTCTAGGCCAGCCTGAGCTGCATAGCAAGACCCTGTCTCAAAAAGACCCCCCTCACACACACACACATGCACACACACACACACACACACACAAAAAAAAAAAAAAGACTGGGAAAATTGCTTAGCAGTCTAAGCACCTGCCTGACAAGTGCAAAGACCCAGGTTCGATCCCCGGTATCATATGCTGTGCTAGCCCTGGAACCCTGGGTGCTCTTTGTGGGCCACTGAGACTGGGCATGGTGGTGCACACCTGTAATCCCAGTGCTGGGGAGGCTGAGACGGGAGGATCACTATGAGTCTGAGCTGCGTAGAGAGATCCTGTATCAAATAAATTATAATAATTAAACCCAACAAAACATTTTTTGGAACACATGATTCATCCATATGGAAATCAATTTAAAAATACGAGGGATTACAAGTATGCGCCACCATGCCTGGCTTAAGCATGTTGTCTTCCTGTCAGGTGTCATGGCTTCTGATTTTTCCCCCCAATACCAGGGATTGAACTCCGGACCTAGTGCTTGCCAGACAGGCACTTATGCCGCTGAGCTAGCTCCCCAGCCCGGCATTAGGTTTGGATATATTTATAGCATTTTTATTTTGTGACATACATCTGTCTTTTGAGACAGGCTCTAGGAGAGTGCGGGTAAACCGTCCCATGAACGGCACTCCTTGAGGTGGAGCGACGCGGTCTCTGCAGCTGCGGATGCGGATGCGGATGCGGATGCGGGCTCTGCGTGCCAAACCGCTCCGTCCCATTTCTGTCTCCTCACCAACCACCCAGGGAACATTTTTAGTGGAAGGGCTCTGAGGGACCTGGCAGCGTCATGAACTCATGGGCCGCAGGGAGAAGAGGCTGCGGAGGGCCGAGAGGGCAGGGAGGAGCGCTGGGCCCACCTCGGACAGCTTGGGGCGCCTGCTGTGCATTCCAGGGGAGCACTTCCGGGGCGGGGCCCACAGGCTGGCTCGGAGCCAAGGAGCCCCCGGAGCTCGGGAGGGGACAGGAGTGGGGCGGGGAGGCCCATCTGGACGGGAGGTGGCAGCGCTGGGCGGCTTGGAGAGCTGGGCTGATCAGGGGGTGTCTCAGGGGCAGGAGCCAGGCCTCGGGGACCTGCGTGAGCCCCGGAGAGCGGTGGCAGGGTGCATGCCTGGCTCCCGGCTTGCCGCGCTGAGCACAGAAGGACAACGCTGTGACGGCTGTTTTATATTTTAACGTGTTTAGAATGTATGAAGTGTTGGGGCTGGCGGGATAGCTCGGTTGTCTAAAGCACCTGCTTGGGCAAAATCAGTCAGGGGCAAAGGACGGCGGTTCGATGCCCAGCTCCCCCTGCCTTACCAGACCCGCCCCTAAGACAGCCTGAGCCAGCTTAAAAAAAAAAAAAAAATCCTATAATTTACTGTTTTAAAAAAATACATGAAGTGTTTATTTAAACAGTTCAAATGCATAAACATGAGTTATCATTCTAATGTAAATGTACATTCTAATATAAATTAACTTCATCTTTTAGAAGATAAAGATAATGAAAGGTAAATATTACTCGGAAACACCTAGAAGAATCCTAACCCTAGCCCCGACCCTAACAGTGCACCCAGCACAGCCGTATGAGCTTGTAATTCCAGCGCTGGGGGCTGAGGCAGGAGGACGCCTCTGCAAGTTTGAGGCCAACCTGGACTACATGGGGGTTCAGGGCCACCCTGAGCTACCAAGTGAGACAAAGACAGCCCAGCACGGTCTCATCACCATTGGCCTAGGAGATCACCGTGCCGAGGTGCCAGAGCACTGGCACCAGGGGACACTCAGCGGGCGGCACCACAAAGCGGAGGCCCCTGGCCTTTAAATTCTAAAAGCCGGAGTTACCTGCCCCTTCCAGTTGCTGCTGCCACCTTTGACCGGTGTACAGTGCTTTTCTGTCGCCTGGGCCCTGCTTGGTCTGTGTTACACCTTTGTTAGCAGGCCGGCCCCAGCACACCTTCCCTGATCCTCAGTAACCCTCACTGCTTGCTGCTGGGGTGCGCTGGGCAATTCTTTCCTCATCGGAGACCTGGAACAGCAGGAGGGCCTGAACCGAAGGCCTCACACCTGCTAGGAAGCTGCTGTATCAGCGAGCCACCTTCCCAGCCTAAGAATATTTTGTGCTTTGTTTGTCCTTTGAGACAGTGTCTTGATAGGTAGTCCAGGCTGGCCTCCAACTCGACAATCTCCTGTCTGACCCTCCTGGGTCCCAACGCCCCTGGCTCTGAGAACTGTATTTTCACTGTATTTTAAATCTTGGATCCAATGTATCTGTGAAATCCCCACATGAGTAGGTAGAGATAAGGAGCTGGAGCTCAAGATTAAGGGCGACATACAAGATACAAACCGAAGATCATCAGCTGGAACTATGGAAGTAGCTTTGTATAAGGGAAGTGAATTGATCTTTAGCAAAGTGTCGGATCTTTTTTTTTTTTTTTTTGTAAGCCTTGAAGAGTTTTTATTTAACATGAGATATAATAACTTATATTAAAGACTATGTGGTACTCTTTTGTTTTTCACCAACTGTTTTTTATGACGATAATTCCGAAATCTGGAATGTGACCGAAAATGAGAATGTTTTGCTGTTTGTGCTTTAGTTTCAGAATTGGTATACCTTTTGGGAGACTTACAGGGGGATCTTGCTATGGAGTCAGAATGTCTTCCATGTGATCTTGATTTTGCTCCTGAGCTAGTCTGCTTTTGAGGTGAACTTGATTGTGATTCTCCTATTGACTTGGACCTTTTCTGTAAGGACTTGGACCTTGACCGTCCTCTAGAACCTGAATTCCTTCTTGGAGTTCTTGACTGCCGTGCTGAGGTAGACCGCCTTGGGAGTGACTTGGAACGAGATTTAGACTGGCTATAAGAGAATCGCCTGTGTCGAGACTCTTTAAGGCTATCTGAACGCCTCCTGTTTCTTCCCCATGAAGAACTTCTACTTCGAGTTCTCCTTTGAGTAGGGCTTCTTGATCTACTGTGATCGGCTGGAGAACAAGGATGACGTTCTTTTGATTTCATTTGGCCTGGTGTTTTGCGATCATCTTGTGCAAACTGTATTTCAATCTGATGGTCACATACCCACTTTCTATTGAGGTTATAAAGAGCATCTTCAGCATCTCGAACATCTTCGAACATGACTATCTCAATGTCACTTGATCTAGAACCTTGACCTTTACTCTTTAAGACTTGCAAGATGGACTTTATAAGAGATGCAGAACCAACAAAATCAGACTTGGCTTTGACTCTGGAACTCTGAGTAAATGTAGGAAAGCTGAAGTCTCAAAGTTGGCTTTGTCTTTTGCTTGATAAAGACTTCCCCTATTCCAGGTCTTTATATCTGTGTCCACCCTCCCTCTTTACTCCTTCATGCTTGAACTTTAGGTGCTTTTTGTCTCGCCTGCTTGGGTTATGCTTGCATTCTTTATTTCTTTATTTATTTATTTATTTATTTACTGTGTGTGTGGCCAGCTCAGCCCACCAGGGGTCGGGGCTGGCTGGTATGTGGTGCTGGGGGATTGAACCGCGGTCCCTGTACTTTGCTTAGCTTAGCTTAGCTTGTTTTAAGTAGGTGCTTTAGACCACTGAGCCATCTCACCAGCCCCAATGCTTGCATTCTAGCTAACAAGTTGGTTCAAACTGGGGGGCGCTTGCCAGCTACTGTGGACTGCTTTAGATTTTCTGGTGGCGTCCGCGATGTTCCTGACGAACAGGGAGGTGTTGGGGGGCCTCGTGTAGCGAGACATGGCAGCTCCCTACGACCCTCGGGGCCCGCTCGCTCGCTCGCTAGCCGCCCTCTTTATTTTTGCTTAATTTCTTTCTTTCTTTCTTTCTTTCTTTCTTTCTTTCTTTCTTTCTTTCTTTCTCATTTTGTCTTTTTTTTGAGGGAGGTCTTGCTCTGCAGTTCAGGCTGGCTTTCAGCTCACTCGGTAGCCCAAGCTGCAAGGATCATCCTGCCTCAGCCTCCCAGGTACTGGGATTACAGGTGTACGCCACCATGTCTGGCCTAGTTTTACTCTTTATTGGCTATACAGATGAAGGGATTTCATTCATACATGCACATAACATACTCTGATCATATTCACCTCCCCATTACTCCCCTACCCCTCCCTTTCCCCTATCCTCACATTTGGGGCTTTCAATGTGTATAATACATTTTGCTCATATCTACCCCATTACCCACCCTGACAGCCCCTGCAGCCCTTCCTTAGTCCCCTCCTCTTGTCTAATAACCGTCTCCCTTCTGCTTTCTGGTCATCTTTTTTGGAATCCACGTATTAGGGAGAACACATGATGCTTGTCTGTCTGAATCTGACTTTCTTAGCTCAACGTGATGGTCTCCAGATCCATCCATTCCTACAGATGACAGAATTTTGTTCTTTTTGGCTAAATAATACTCCGTTACATATGCATACCACGTTTTCCTTGCCCATTCATCTATCCATTGATGGGCAGTGTGGCTGGTTCTCTGTCTTAGCTACTGTGAATTGTGTTGCAACAGACAGGAGTGTGCAGGGAGCCCTACAGCACGTTGCCTTTGATTGCTTTGCGTCTCTACCAAGGAGTGGCATAGCATGACCAAATGGCAGCTGCATTTTTAGGACTTTTGTTTTTTGAGGAAGCTCCGTACTGATTTCCACAGCAGCCGGGCTGATTTACATTCCTACGTGTGGTGTAGGAGGCCCACTGCCCCTGAGTGCTTGCCAGCATGTAGGGTTTTTTGTATTCTTGGTGATAGCCACGCTGACTGAGGTGACACTGAATTTCACTGATTTGCACTTTCCTAATGACTGAAGATTTTTTTTTATTTTGTTTGGAACTGGGGGTTGAACTCAGGCCGTTGTGCTTGCCAGGGAAGCGCTTAGTCTACTCAGCCATCTCCCCGGTCCCATGACGGAAGATGTTGAACTTTTATTTTTTTCATATACTCATTGCCCATTTGTACTTCTTTTGAGAAGTGTCTATTCAATTCACTTGCCATTTATTGGTTGGACTACTTGATTTTTTTGTTTTTTGTTTTTAGTTCTTTATGTTCTAGATATTAATCCTCTGTTGGAAGAATAGTTGATAAGAATTTCACTTCCCTCTATTAGCTGTTTCCCTTGCTATGCAGAAACTTTTTACCTTGATGTAGTTCCACTTGTTGATTTTCTGTGCTGTTATAGTCCTACTCAGGAAGACTTGCCTATGCCTATGGCTTCAAGGGTTTCTCCTACATTTTCTTTGGGGCACTTCACAGTTTCAGATTTTTTTTAAGTATTTATTTATTTGGTACAGGGTCCTGCTACACAGCTTGGACTCATAGTGATCCTCCTGTCTCAGCCTCCCTAGAGCTGGGATTACAGGTGTGTGTTCCAGGGACTGGCATGGTGTGCAGTACTGGGGATTGAACTCGGGACCTTGTACTTGCCAGGCAGGCGCTTAGTCTCAGCTATCTCCCCAGCTCCCTCACAGTTTCAGGTCTTATTCCTAGGTCTTAGGTCTATTTAGATTTTGTATAGAGTGACAGATAGGGATCTCATTTCAATCTTCTACAAGCGAAGTCTAATATTTGTTGAGCAGGCTGTCTTTTCTCCAGCATATATTTTTGGCTCCTTTGTCCAGAATCAATCATGGCAGTAGTTGCATGGATTTATTTCTGTGTCCTCTATTCTGTTCTATATTGGTCTACGTGTTTATTTTTATGCCACACTATTTTTGTTATTATGGTTTTGTTGTGTAACTTAAAATTAGCTATTATGTTGCCTTTAGCTTTGTTCCTTTTGCTTGGGATTACTTTAGCTATTATGTGTCTTTTGTGTTTCTATATGAATTTGAACATTGTTTTTTCTAACTCTATGCAGAATGTCATTGGTATTTCGAAGGGTATTGCTTTCAGTCCATACACCTCTACTCTCACCACTCTGTTTTTTTTTTTACTCTTACCACTCTTATTCAACGTAATTCTTGAAATTTTAGTGCAATTATCAAGACAAAAAAGTAAAATCGATAAAGGTAGAAATGGAGAAATAAAATTATCCTTGTTTACAGGTGGTATGATTGTAAGCCTAGAACATGCTAAAAACTATAAAAAGACTTTTAGAACTGATAAATTCAGCATTGTAGCAGGATGTTAATATTAAAAATCAACACATTTACTCTACACTGGTAATAAGCTAGCTGAGAAAAAACTCAGGGAGACAATTCCATTCACAATAGCTTCAAACAAAATACAGTACCTAGGAATCAATCTTAAAGACCTCTAAAATGAAAATTTCAGAATAGTGAAGAAGCTGGGGAAGACTCCAGAAGACAGAAAGGCCTCCTCTATGCACAGGTTATCGGGATGGGCATATTACCAAAGGTGAGCACATCCAAGACTAGATTTTGGGTGGGAGGGGTCCTAGGAATCGAACTCAGGCCCTTGAGTTTGCCAGGCAGGCACTGCACCACTGCGCCATATCCTCGGCCTCTAGGATTTTAACTGGATAGAAAACGTGTAGGTAGAAGTTGAAGAAAAGAGCAACCAAAGAAAGATCAGGAGTTTGGAGTGAATGAGTACTGTTGGCAATGTGCCGCCAGGTTGGCGAGCGGGCTCTCTCTGGAGGGGACGGAGGCTCTGGCTCCCGCAGCTCGCCGATTCCATGGAGTGCGCAGTCTCATCAGGGCCAGCTTTAAGCTCGCACATCACTCCGCAAGAGCTGAGAAGAGCTGCACACAGAGGTACAGGTGTACGTCAGCCATCGCCGGACGCAGTCCTGGCAGGCAGGATGCTGTCAGGGCGACACGGAGCATACGTTTAGAAGATGAAGCCCACCTGAATGTATCTGTAAAGACAGATAATGGTAAGCTGAGGGGAGACTATGAAGAGATTTGGAGCTTTATACATTGCTTATGGGACTGTAGAATGATACAGCTCCTGGATAACAGCTTGGCAATTCCTCAAAAAGTGAAGCCTAAAGTTACCAGTCTCAGGAGAGAAAAGAAGACAAAACCTTGTACCCGACTGCTCATGCGCCGTTATTCATAGTAGCCAAAGGCAGAAAGAATTGCGTGCTCATGGCCACTGAACGGATGTGTAGAATGCAGCACGTCCTCCGTACAGTGACGCACTATTCAGCCTTTAGAAGGAGTTAAGGGCTGGGGAGCTAGCTCAGTAAATAGGTGCTTCCCTGGCAAGCACAAGGTCCTGAGTTCAATCCCCACTACTGAAAAAAAAAAAAAAAAAGGAATTAAGTTCTGACGTGCTCTGCAATACGGATACGCCCTGAAGCCCGAAGTAACTAGGTAAGAAGCCGAGGGGAAGTAGCTAGGTAAGAAGCCGAGGGGAAGTAACTTTTTATTTTCTTTATAGACAGCCTTGGGTACAGTGTTACAGCAGCAAACACGGATGAAAACAATAGTCACTGAAATTTAAAATTTAATATTAAGCTGAATTACAGATTTGACAGATGAACGGATAATAAAAGCAGGGAAAAAAATGTACAGAAACTGTTCAGAATGTAGCAGAGAAAATGGGCCAACTTAGGAGCTCCAGAAAAGAAAACATGGTGAGATTTCTAGAGAGCACATATGCTAGAAGATGCTAAAAACTACTTCTGTTCAGAAATTTAATGCGATTTGGAAAAAGAAAATAGAAAAATAGGACAAAGACAATATTCAAAATGCCTAAGAAAGGTTTAAGTACAAGAATCATTGGGTTGGGCCGGGGAGGTAGCTTGGCGACGTAAGCACCTGCCCGGCAAGCTCAAGGTCCCAAGTTTGATCCCTTGTACTGCATGTTGTGCTGGTCCTGGAACTGGGCATGGTGGCACACACCTGTAATCCCCACACTAGGGAGGCTGAAACAGGAGGATCACTACAAGTCCAAACTGTGTAGGGAGACCCTGTATCAAATAAAATAAAAAATAATCATTGGATTAAAAAATTGTCCCAAACTAAATAGAAAAACAAAATAAAACAAAACAAACAAAAAAAAAAAATTCCAAGTGTAGATACACCTTGGTGTGGAAAACCTCTTGGCTCTTTACAGCTTAGCCCTGGAAGTCACATGGTGTCACTTCTAATATCTTTTGCCTTTGATTTAATTAGTCACATGCCTGCACAGGTTCAAGGCTGGGGGCACTCCACTCCTGCACTTAAAGGGAAGACTGTGAAAG